AAGCAAAGTGATTCAGTCATTATCTATCTACATCTATATCTATCTAAATAGAGATATATTTTTTCAGGTTATTTTCCATTATAGGTTATTGTAAGATAGTGAATATAGTTCCCTGTGCTATACAGTAAATCCCTGTTGCTTACCTATTTTATGTATAGTGGTTTGTATCTGTTAATCCCATACTCCTCATTTATCCCTCCACCCCTCCCATTCCTCTTTGGTAATCATAAGTTTGTTTTCTATGTCTGTGAGTCTGTTTATGTTTTGTATATAGATTCATTTATATTCTTTTTTAGATCCCACATGTAAGTGATATCATGTAACATTTCTTTCTCTGTCTGACTTCACTTAGTATGCTATTCCGTAGGTCCATCCATGTTGCTGAAAATTGCAATATTTCATTCTTTTTATGGCTGAGTAATATTCCACTGCATATATATACCACATCTTAAACCAGCCATCTGTTGATGAACACTTAGTTTGCTTCTATGTCTTGGCAATTGTAAATAGTGCTGCTATGAACTTTGGGATGCATATATCTTTTTGAATTAGGGTTTTCATCTTTTCTGGATATATGTCCAGGAGTGGATTTACTGGATCATATGGTAGTTCTATTTTTAGTTTTTAAGGAACCTGCATACTGTTGTCTGTAGCAGCTGTACCAGTTTACATTCCCACCAACAGTGTACAAGGGTTCACTTTTCTTCACATCCTTGCCAACATTTGTTTATTTGTGTTCTTTTTGATAATAGCCATCCTGGCTGGTGTAAGGTAATAATCCATCGTGGTTTTGATTTGCATTTCCCTAATAATTAGTGATGTGTTGAGCATCTTTTCATGTGCCTGTTGGCCATCTGTGTGCCTTCTTTGGAAAAATGTGTGCTTAGATCTTTTGCCCTTTTTTTGATTGAGTTTTTTTTGATATTGAGTTGTATGAGGTGTTTGTATGTTTTGGAAGTTAATCCCTTGTCAGTTGCATCATTTGCAAATATTTTCTCCCAGTTGTCTTTCTGTTTTGTCGATGATTTCCTTTGCTGTGCAAAAGCTTTTAAGTTTGATTAGGTCTCATTTGGTTTTTTTTAATTTTATTTCTTTTCCTTGGAAGCCTAATCTACGAAAATATTTCTACGATTTATGTCAGAAAATGTTTTGCCTACGTTCTCCTCTAGGAGTTTTATGGTGTCATGTCTTTGTGAGTTTATTTTTGTGTATGGTGGGAGGGAATGTTCTAATTTCATTGATTTACATGTAGGTAAAGAGACAGATTCTTTTTTTTTTTTTTTTTTTTTTTT